CCTCCCTATAGAGAAAAAGACACAGAAAGCTCCCATGTGGTTTGCGCTTCCTCCCGCACTTCCAGCAGGAGAAACAAATGGGAGGCACAATCGCCTGCTCCTTTTAATTTTTTGCCAAGCACAGTTGAACAGCTGATTTCAGTCATTTCTACCTATGGTTTCCTCCTTAAAGCTAATTAGTTTCTTTTCAAGTAATTGCAAATAGTACATTTTCCAAGCCCTTGGAATAGAGGCTGACAACTAGCTGGCTGGAGTGGGCTCTTATCAATAGTTCATGGAAATTAGACGTGCAAACATCCCACCAGGGCCCTGAGGGCTGCTCTGAGTTGTTTAGAATAAATAGCTCGTGGAAGTCCCAGAGCTCTTTTATGAATGGACCCGCTCATGCCAAGTGTCTGGGACGTGGTGGAACATTATAGAAGTGGAGAGTTTCTAGAAGCATCATCAGAATCCAGCTCCATGAGGGGCACCATGCTCTGTGCTGTGTGGTAGCAGGACACGGACAGGGCCTGGGGTGGAGGCAGGTGGGCTAGAGGGTGGGAAGGGCTCTATGGGGATATAGGTGGAAAGATTCTTGGCAGGAGGAGGGATGGATGAGTTTCATGGAACAGGTGCGACCATCATCATCATCCTCATCATCTCCATCAGTAAGGTGCAGTGGCCAGTCACAGAATCTGGTCCTCCGGGCCGGTCCTCCAGGAACTAGGGAAGCACTCATGCCTGCACACCTCCCAGTTCAGTCTTAGGGATCTGATGATTGGCAATTTTCAGACCTGCTGTTATATGGAGAATCTGGTTTTAGGTTCTGAGGATGTCTTTTCTTTTCCTCTCCCTGGAGTTTTTTGATTGTTTTTGGTCTTTTTGAGACAGGGTTTCCCTGTAGCCCCAGCTGGCCTGGAACTCACTATGTAGCTTAGGCTGACCTCAATCTCACAGACATCTGCCTGCCTCTGCTTCCATGCCTGACATCTCTTCCTAGAGTTTTAACCTTGCTGTCTTTGCTGCTGCTGCTGATCTGGACCTGGGATGAGGGGAGTGAGTCTTCAATCTTTTCAATTCATCCATGTTAGGAATCACCATCTGTGGCCCAAATTCTCTCTGGGTCTCCTGTTTACAATCAGACAAACCATATAATATATTTTATGTGAGTTTATTAGCTTACAAAGGAATTGAGTTCACAGCGCCTAGCCCAGCGCCGCTGCCACTCTGAGCCCACCTTATCAGACCAGGCCACGTCGATAGTCCCTGGCTAGCATTCGCTCACGCCTCCAGGGCCAGCGATCTCGCCCCAGGTCCACAGGGAGTCAGTCCATTCTGTCTTTGAGTTGCTGCTGGCTGCTAGTTTCCTACACCATCCCAGCGGCTCCTGGCTTCCATCCTAAGATGGCTCCTGGCTTCCCTTCCTACTTGCTGCTCGTGTCAGGCCCCACACACTGGATGAACTAGCCAATCTGGAGACTCCATCAGTTGCCCAAAGTCTCTTTATTCCGGTATTTGTTTCGAGCTTGCTATAATTTAGGTAGAAACTGTTCCCCCACAGCTTCATGTGTTTGAATACCCCCACACTGGGGAGGTGTCACTCTGGGAAGTTACGGAACCTTTAGGAGATAGAGCCTAGCTGGAGGAAGGGGGTCACTGGGCATGGGCCTTGAGCTGTATAAGCTGGCTTCACTTCCTCTTCCACTTCTGCTTCTTCATCTACCCCGATGTGAACAAGCAGCTTCATGATCCTGCTGCCATAGCCAAGAGCTGCTCCACCAGTGCCTTTCCAACTGTGCAGTAAAATAAACCCTCACCTCCTCCAGGAGCTTCCTGTCAGGTATATAGTCAGGACAAAGAAAAAAGCAGAAGATGCTGCAGTGATGCATTCTTCTGCAGTTGGGGGATGCATTCTTCTGCAGTTTGGGGGATGCATTCTTCTGCAGTTTGGGGGATGCATTCTTCTGCAGTTGGGGATGCATTCTTCTGCAGTTGTAGAATTTATTTTTCTGCAGTTTGGTATTGCGTTCTTCTGCTGTTTGGGGGATGTATTGTTGCACAGTTTGGGTGATGCATTCTTCTGCAGTTTGGGAATTCATCCTTTTGTGTTTGGGGATGAATTCTTCCACAGTTTGGTAAATCTGAAGTCTGACTCAGATTTCAGTGGGAGAAGGTAGAGGTCCTGGCAGGGCACATCTCCTCAGTAGCTTCAGAAGAGGATGTTTCTCTGCCTTCTCCTGCTTTGAAAGGCTTTCACTTTTTTAGCTCATGGTCATTCCTTCCAAATTCAATGTCAGATCCTTCAGGCTCATGTCTTATGCCCTGTCTTCTGCCTTACATAGCTGTATCTTCCTTCAACTGCTCTCCTCTTCCACTTCTAAAGATCTTCATGATTATCTTATGCTCAGGTAGGTAATCTGGAATAATCTCCAGATCTGCTGGTGAGAAAGCTTAACTCCATCTGTAACCTGACTAGGATGTGAACATCTCTAAGGAGGGAAGGTCTTAACATGCCCACACCCATCCCCGTCCTACCCCCATGCCTGCTGTTCTTGCTGGCACCTTGCTGAGTTTCAGCCCATCAGTGCATCGCTGGCACACACTGAACTGTGTGTGTCCTTGTGAGGATGCAGCTGGTGTGCATGTTCTAGTTGACACATAGGAGAGCTCTGTGTCCTATTAATGGCGATGCTCTGACAGTTGGGATCAACACTGTTTCTAAGGTCTCACACATGGTTTTGTATCACTGAGATGATGTCTACATATCATTTCATGGTTTGCATCTGTCTCCTCTCATTCATCCTTTCCTCCATTGACATTCCACAAACATGTCTTGAGCAAGTACATTATGGCTCCCCCCATAGATATTAGGGATAGGAAAGAACTAATTAACGTCCTACCTTCTGGTGTTCTTTTACCTTAATTGCAAATACTTAGCCCAGGCTCACTCCTTTCTCCTGCAAACGGTCTTAGTCCAAGCCAACAGCCTTTTTATTCCACCTGGACAACTGTGTTTCTGTCCTACTTGGCTCTGCGTATTTTCACTCTTCCCTATCTAATCCTTCCTTCATACAGCATCCAGAATAAATATGAGAAATATATCAATCACCCCCACTAATCCTTCACATCTGTTGATATCCTGTTGCCTTCCTATAGGATAAAATTCACATGATTTAACCTAGTTTTACAAAGCTCGATGGCAGCTGGCTACACCTGCTTCTATGACCTCAGAAAATTCCCAGAATTTTCCTTCATTCCCCATTGTATTAGTCACTTTTCTGTTGCTGTGATAGAGACACCCTGACCAAAGCAATTTATAAAAGGAAGAGTTTATTTGGGCTTATGGTTCCAGGAGAATTACAGTCCATCTTGGCAGGGAGGCATGGTGGCTGGAGGTGGCTGGAGCAGGAGCAGCAGAAGCTAAGCTCTCACATCATCACACAGGCACAGGAAGCAAGAGAGAGACTGGAGATCTGGCAAGGCTTAAGAACCCTCTAAGCCCACCCCCAGTGACGTGCTTCCTCCAGGATAGCCACACCTTCTAAAACCTCCCAAAACAGAGCCATCATCTGGGGACAAAATGTTTAAATACTTGGAGCCTATGGGAGACATTTTCATTCAAACCATCACAACCATAATGCAGCCTTTTTTGTATTCAGGAACGGGTCCAGCTTGCCTGCCTCCCAGCCCCAGGATGTCCTTCCCCTGAAATGCTCTTTCTTATCACCCATATGGCAGGCCTGCTTTATTGTCTGGACAGCACACATTCACCTATGGGCCTTACTCATATATTAACTTATGGTTGTGTGGCCTATCGTATTAGTTGTTTGCAGTGTAATGTCTCAGTCTGTGGCAGTGGGGGTGTGGTGGAAGTTAGTGGCATACTGGCAGATCAGGAAGCAGAGAGCAAGGCCAGAACCAGGGATGGGCATCAACTTAAGAGTGACTGACTTCCTCCAGCTAGCCCTCCCCCAACCTAAAGTTTCCATAGCTTGGGACCAAGCATTCCAGACATGAGCCTGTGGCAGGCATTTGAAATTCAAACCACTACACCTGTATCACCCTGTGAGAGCTATTTCAAAATCTTTCCTAGTCTTTGCTCTATCAGTGCCTAGTGCATAGCCTGGTACAGATGGGATGCTCAGTGGTGTTTGAGAACTAAAGGAATGGATGAGTTTGATACAATAGTTCTCAATTTTGCCTCCTCACTAGAATCACCTTTAGGAAACCATGTCATGCCCAAACCAGTTGAGCCAGCTTCTTTGAGCATAGCTTGCAGATATGGGCACTAAAAGCCTCTCAAATAAAAGTATCTAGAGCTATGAATCAGGCACTTGAAGAACAGAGCCCATCTCCCTCAGGAGAGTCTAGGAAGCTTTCCTGAGTGAGAGAACAAGAGTGAGAGCGATAGCACGAGAGAGAGAGAGAGAGAGAGAGAGAGAGAGAGAGAGAGAGAGAGAGAGAGAAAGAGAGAGAGAGAGAACAAAAGGGAAGGGAGGAGAGTGCTTGCTTTCTGCAGTGCTAAGATGTAGGTGCCCTAAGCCTGGTACTGTCTGCAGCCATGTCAGATACCACTCCAACAACACGCCAGCTACTAGAAGAAGACTGAGCTGTAGAACGGGAGGCTGAGCCAATTCTAGGGGGACAGGGGACACAGGGTGGTAAGCAAAACCCTGCTAATGTGGTGGGAGTTGCTGGAGCCTGTGTGTCTTACCCCACTTAAATCCTTCTTCTGCTCAAGCTGGGAGGTATTAGGTTTCTGTCACTTGCAACTCAAAGAATCCTGACCAATACTCCATCAAAGCAAATAATTGTGGATCAAGAAAAGACGAGTTAAATGGAATCCAGAAGACAGAATACCAAGGCACTGCCTTTATCAATAAATCTGAGATTCCAAATATAGTCTATTGCTAAACTAGAAATAGTCCTTTACTTCTCTTATTTCAGCTAATGTTAGCATGTTTACAAAGTGTTGCAGTTAAGCATTTCCACAGCCAAATGAAAAGTATTAGATCACTTACTCCATGTAAAGGGAACAGATTTGCAGTGGAGCTGTGCTGGCTGCACGTTCAACACGGGCACCATGAGTCATGTGCCAAGTCTCCTGTCCAGAGAAGCTCCTGGTCCAACCTGGATTACCTAGAGAAAACAACACTGTGTCATATGCTGAGCTCTCTGCTGAGCTCATCCACCCCAATTCTAATCACATGGTTCCTTTTGCGCCTTCAGAGGGACTCTGAAAGGATGGAAACTTTGGTTTTGGAGACCTTGAGGAGCCAGGAAGGTCCGTCCTCCAACAGCAGAGGCTAGTTCCATCAGAAGTTGCCCGAGATGCTAATCTCGAAGGGATACAAAAAGGGTGCCAAAAGGTTTCCAGAAATGCAGATAGATGAAGAAAACTTCACTGAAGTAAACTCTGCTCAAAGAATATTTGGAGGGCACCATAGACGGGACAAAACAAATATGAAGCTTGGAACAGGCTTTGGGTGTAAGTCCCTGAACTCCTTAATTCTTTAAGGCTGACAGGCTCTGCTTCCCCAGATCACAAATTGCCCACATGATTTCCTCCCTGTGGTAAGCTACATGACAGAGATAAATAGATATCCCCATGCCAGAAAGCTTTGCTATTGGGCCTTGGGGGTTAAGAGCACTGGCCGTTATTCTAGGGGACCCAGATTTGATTTCTAGCCCCTACGTGGTGGCTCTGTCACCTCACCTGGCCTTTGTGGGCACTGCATGTATTCCAGTGTACATACAGGCAAACAAAACTCTTATACAAATAAAAAATAAATCACGTTTTAAAATGCAAACAAATCGTTATCTGCCTATGTCACCCAATTCCTTCCACCCTCCTCACAGGCACTGAGTAGTCCTCATAGTCCCTGAGCTCTTGGGTGACAGAGAAAAGAGTGGATCACGGTCCTTCCCAGGACACACACAATGATGAAAACTGCATCACTACCCATCTGGAAGTGTCCTTTTAACCTTTACAGTTCTTTTATTTGAACCCAAGTATCCCTCAGATAAGGCACTGTCTTCCTGTAGGCCTTCCTTAAAAAAACAGTCTTGTTTTGTCAAGAGTAAAGCCTGGATAAGACTGTCCATTAACCAAAACCCTAAAATCAATCTCAAATAGGCCTGTGAATATGATAAACCCATATCATGCATCCCATGATCAGCTCTAACAGGGATGAAATCCCAAATCCAACTCTCCACTTGAGGTAGCCTTCCAGCACAGTGAACAGAGGTCAGCCACCCTTCTGTGCACTGCAGAGCTTCAGTTCTCAAACCCCAATTGCTCCATATCACTGGTTCTCTCCTCGCTGAGGCATATCAGTCCTAACACCATGCTTAAGGAGGTTTCCTTCCTTGGCTAATGTTAGCTCTCCAGTGTACACACACACACACACACACACACACACACACACACACGTACAAATAAAGCTGTATTTAAACGTTTATAAAGCAACTAGTATGAGATTCTTTTGTGGGTTTAAAGAAATTCTTTGAGTTTCATAGTGCATATAATGAATTTCGGCTGTTGGCACCCAATTACTCTTCCTCTCCCACTGAAAACGTTCATCTTCCCAATAAATCCCTCTCCTGCCTTCAAGTCTTTCCCACTGAATTTAATTGTGGTTGCTTGCATGAACATGTGGTGGGGGCTTGCTCACTGGAGCATGGGCAACTTATCGGTGATTATACCACTGAAGAAAATGACAACCACCTCCCTAGCAACCATTAACTGGCAATAGTCCTACGGGATGGGTGGACCTGTGATGAGCCCTCCCCCCATCCACGGTGAAATCTTAGGCAGGTATTGTGAAGTCACCACAGCGGTTGTAACTTCATGGGTGCAACAGCCATGTCTTGTCCCAAAGACCGTGTCTCACAGCATTTCTTCCCATTGTTCCGCCTACACTCTTTCTGCCCGTTCTTCTGCTATGTTCCCTGAACCTTGGAGAAGATGATATAGATGTCCTGTTTAGGGCCAGGCACTCAACAGTCACTTATTCTTGGCATTTTGACCAGTTATATGTCTCTGTGTTGGCTGCCATCCACTCCAAAGAGAAGCTTCTCTGGTGGAAGCAGCGAAAGTATCAATCTATGGGTATAAACAGTGGTGTTTAGAAGGCAATCTGACATCATGTTCACATTCCTTCCTAGGGCCTATGACCTTCCGAGCCATTGACCAGCTTTACAGTAGCAGGCCTGAGTTCCCCTGCGAAACACACCACAATGTGCGTATATTAGCCCAATCTAATCTGAGAGCCGTTAGTTGCCCCCATGACTACACCACTGTGTACATCTTTCCTGGCAAGTTGGTATCATAGCTCACAAGATTCAAAACTGGGTAAGATCATAGGTAGCTTTTCACCCCCAGTGGCCTGCACAGCACCTTCCAGCACTTTAAAACTGGCCAGCAGGGAAGAAGCTTTCAACTCAAATCTAGATTGGTTTCTCTACATCTACAGCCATTGTATATGGTGTCATCAGTAATAGGGTCTTACCATCTAGTGCTGGAGGGCAACCAAGAGCCATGGCAATAGTCAGATTGTTGGGGTAAGGGTGCTGGGGCCTCCATAACCAGCTCAGGGAGGTATGTCACAGCTGGCACTATTTTTGTTTAATAACCTATGGCTTCTGGCAGGAAGGTACCCTTGCAGGGTCCCTCTATTCAAAATCTGTTTTAAATATATTTTTAGTAGGATTATAGTATGTTTCCATATGGCTTTTTCATACATTCTTGGTTGTGGTTGCTCCTATCCCCCACATTCTCCTTTCCCCTAGACCTCCTACCAACAAGATTATCTTTGTAAAACTCTTAGAGACACGATTTTCATCCCCCCCACCCCCACCAGGTATGACTTAAATATGCTTCTTCACCCCATGGATACTAGGTTTGGCCTGTCACTTGTTTTCCAATAGGACGTTAGGGGCACAGTATGTGAAATAATTTGTGCATATACTGTCACCATGAAAAGACTAAACCTAGTTGGCTCACTGGTCCAAGGAGATGCACCTGGGGTGGAACAAGCCAGTTCCAAGCCGTGCCCAAGCCAGGTCATTTATCACTTACCTTACACTCATAAAAATGAGGATAAGTTGAGTAGGAGAGATGGCTCAGTGGTTAAGAGCATTGACTGCTCTTGCAGAGGAACTGGGTTCGAATCCCAGTACCCACATGGTAACTAACAACCATCCATAACTCCAGTTCCAGGGGATCTGACACCCTCTTCTGACCTCCACAGACATTGTGTGACATGGGGATACTTACACATATGCAGTCAATACACTCACACACATAAAATAAAAATAATAAAATATTTTTTAAAAAATAAGGATAAGTCATGACAGTGCAAACCACTGCATTTAGGGTGCTTTTATCTATATTGTGACCATAAACAGACTATAGATAAGGCAGATTGATAAGCCTGGTGTAGTAGCGCACACCTATGATTCTAACATTTAGTAGGCTGAGGCAGGAGGACTGCAGTGAGTTCAAGGCCAGCCTGGACCACATTGTAAGTCTGAGGCTAGTCGGGACTACATGGAAAGACCCCCATTTCAAAAATAAAAGACAAAACAATGAAGGTTTTCGGAAGTAATTTCTGAAGACCAAAAGTCAAAAGGGAAACTGTGTATGTGGGGGCTGGGGTTGAAGCTGGACATCTTCCTTCACAGTTTTGTGCCTTAGATACGGAGGCAGGGTCTCCTGCTGAACCTGGAGCTCACTTCCTGGGCTAGCCTGGCTAGCCAGCTTGCCCCCGGGATTTCCTGTTTTGGCTTTCCAGGCTTTGGGATTACAGGAGGACTACCACGCCTTCCCAGCTTTTAAGTGGGTTCTGCAGATTCAAACTCAGTCTTCACTGAAACACTTTCACTTTACTCACTGAGCTGTCTCCTCAGTCCTCAGTACATCAAACCCTGAAACTGTTCATGGATTTTTTTGAACCTGCCATAAATAAGCTTAAAATTTTAATCTGAGCTGAAATTTAAAAAAAACGATCTTTAGTAAATGTGGGCAAGATCACAGAACCAGCAAGAAAGGACAGACTATGCTGAGCAGCCATGAGCCTTGTACTTTCACTTGTGGAGTACCATGCAGCCAGTAAAAGGAATGATGGCAATCACTGGGACACCTGCATTGCTCTTGGAGATTAGAATTAGAGGAAAGAAAGTGAGGCTCATCTCAATTGGCCTGTGTTCATATCTTTGAAACTTTTCCAATGGCCATAAATTAGGTATTCACTTGGTCTTAGATATGTATTTATCTAAGCATTTAATACGGCAATAACAGCATTATCCTATGGAGTCCTGTTATCTCCAGGGAAGGCAGCAAGGTAACAGGCATGATGGCTGCACCATGAGCCTTGAAGTCAAACCGATGTGGGTTCAAATCCTGCCACTTGGATTTGTGCAAACTGTACTGTTGAGCACATTACTATCACTGAGGCTCTAGGCCCTCACACTTAGAGAAATAGGGTGGTTATATCTACCAAGCAGAGTCATTGTAAGAAAAGTCTAGAAAGCACTGGATGCAACACCCGGCAGACAGTAAGAGCTAATTGAATGTGAACTCCATTCCCTTGTGGAATACCTCCATAGCTAAAACACTGCTTTATGCATCAAGGAATTAACACCACTGTTGTGAGATTAATTCACAGCACTGCACATGAAAACAGTGCTTCAGAGCATGGCAAAAAACTATAATTAAAGTATCTGGTATTTTTTTGATTACAGGGTTGGCTTTACTTACTTTAGCACTTGTGGGCAGAGAGCAGGCAGCATAGAGGCAAAGATGGATGGCTTTACTTTCTGAGAGGTTTCTGACCACTTCCCAGGGCAGGATGGCAGTTATTCCTGTCATCCATGTTGTCCATTGAAGAGTCTGAATCTGTGTGTGTGTGTGTGTGTGTGTGTGTGTGTGTATGTGTGTGTGTGTGTGCGCGCGTGGGGGGTACTTACTGAACAGATACTATGTGCCAAGCTCTTTGATATTCACTCATGCCTTCTTCTCCTAGGAATCGCCCCCCACCCCCAAAGCTCAGTGCACCCTGTGTAACTGTGTCTGATTACAAAAAGTGTTGAGACACACAGGTTGAGACACAGGTTAGTTCAGTAAGTGGCTTCAAATG